ATTACTTTGGGTGCAGCACCCATTTTAAGCTGTGCCATGGGCACAAATTCCTTGACCTTGTGTCACCCTGTGTTCTTGCTGTGAACTGATTTGCCTTGCCTGGCCCAGGAGTCATCACAAGGTTCTTAGAAAGAACCCACGTGGGAGGGCTTTGTAAACTCTTGAGCAGAGCGCTGTATAAGGGGTCTGTGCTTTTTAAAAATCTTGATTTGGTATTTTGAATTTCAAAGGTAATAAATACTCAAAGAAAGACCGTTAAAACAAAACAAACATTTAAAGGAAAATGTGGAAGTCCCTCCCATTCTCCTCATTCTCCAGGGATGATAGTTGTTAATGGTTCCAGTCTTTTGCTTAATACAGACAGGAAGGTATTCAGGTTTTAATTGAAAATGTAATTGTAGGAATTATATCATCACACTGCTCTGCACCACACTTGTTTTGGGGGGCTTTTTTTTCCTTCTTTTTTGAAACCACAACATGAGGATCTTTCCAGGTCATGACCTCATTACTTTTGCAACTTCCGTATACTACTCCGTGTCCCAGGGCCTGTGGTCACTGTACCCAGCCACGTGGTCAGGCAGGGTGTCTTGGGACCTGCCGTTGTTCTTGGTGCTTCGGTGAACACGTGTATCTCTAGGGGGTCGCGGGAGGAAAAGGGACCAGCGCTGCGTTGGTATATTTGGCTGGGTCTAGCACCTGACCTTCCTTCCACTCGGGGTGCTCAGGGTCTGATGGAAGTGGTGGCGGAGTGCAGAGCCGATTAGCCTGCTGTCGTCGGGCAGCTGGGACTCGCGCACCGTCCCCTCACCCACACTCCGACACGGGTGTTTTCACGATTGGCAGGCATTCTCTTGTTGGCTTCTGCTGCTCTGAAGGTGGCTCTCAGGTGAGGGGCAGGCTCTAGGGGCTTGGCCTGGTGGGTGGGTGAGGAGGGCGCTGGAGGAGGAAGGCACCGCCTCTTCTGTGGGCATCGTGACTGGCAGTCCCGGGGAAAGCACCTCTGATTTACAGATCTACACTGTTTTAAACCAGAGTGCTTCAGGGCCAGTGGTTAGTCTGTGTAACACTGTGACTGCAGACCGTGGTTTCCATTTTCTCAGTAACAGCACAGAGACTGTGGGAGAGGGTGCGTGCGCACCTCCATGCTTGCTGACACTGCAATCTTTAGTGACGGTGTATCAGTCAGGGTTCTCGGGGAAACAGAACCGGTTCTGGGTGTGCATGTGTATAAAGACAGACCAGGTGACGGATTCTGAGGACTCACTCCCACGCTTGTGGAGGCTGACATGTCCAAAACCTGCAGGGCTGGCCTGCAGGCCCAGGAAGCCGCAGGTGCTGCCGCGTGAGGCTGCAGCACCTGCCCACAGGATTCTCTCTTCCTGGGAGACCTTAATCTTTTCCTTGAAGGCCTTCAGCCTGTTGGATGCAGCCCGTCCACGTTATGAAGGGCAGTCTGCCTTCCTCAGAGTCTGTTGATTCAAATGTTAGTCTCATCTTAAAAAATACTGTCACAGCAACATCTGGACATGTGTGACCAAATATCTGAGTGTCACATCCTTGCCAGGTTGACACAGAAAATTGACCACCACAGATGAATAGATAAATGGTACTTCTTACATTCCACCTGCTACTTCAAGGGGTCCCCCTGAAGAATTTGGCACGTCTGCAGATGTGTGTCTCCACCCAAAGGTTTTAGGCACTTTGAGCAGTTGTCAGGATCATGGGCCCTTTCTCCAGAATGACACGTGCTTGTGCTCATGCATGCAGAATTTGGTGTTCAGTTGTAGGAGGGGTAGGGACGTCTCACTCAGCCTATCCGGGGACCCCTAAGAAGCCAGCGTTTCTCTAGTTAGATCCTGTTCTGGGCCCTGCTGTTGTTGGCATTGTCACATGACCAGCGTCCCTGCTGAGAACAGCAGAGCTGCCTTCAGGGAACTGGCCAGTCCTCACCTGCTTCCAGGCCCTGTCCACCTTGCCCTGCATGGCTTATTACCCTTTATCGTGACTTTTGGATGTGGGCACAGAGACTCAGAGATGTTAAATCACCTGCGCAAGGCAGCACAGCAAGTCAGTGGCAGAGCAGGATTTGAAGCCAGGCTGAGAGCCCAGGCTTTGATGATGCCTCTGTGCCCACCCAGGGGAGGGATCGCATCCCCCCCGATGAGATGGTTATGTGCTTAGAGGGGTCCTAGGAGGCTGTCCAGTTACACCGTCAGCTCCTGGTTTTTCCAGCTCACATTCAGGTAGGTGTTATCGGAGCATTGGTCCTGTGGGACTGTGGGTTGAAGCCCTTTTTTGAAGTCTCACCCTTTCTAGATACTGGTCTTTCAGGGTGACCCCTTCCTAAGCAAAGGTTATTGGGCAAGGGGTTCAGCTTTGAGCAGTCTGTCATGCTCAGCTTACGGTTTCTTTTCACTGAGGAGACTCTTGACTCTAATTTCTCCCCATTTTATAGCTGAGCCGTGTGAATGGCACATCGTCGCCGCAGTCACCCCTGAGCACGCCGGGCAGGGTGGCTGCAGTGGGGCCTTACATCCAGGTTCCCAGCACCGGCAGCTACCCTGTGCCTGGGGACCCTGTAAAGCCCCAGTCTCTCACCATTGCCTCAAGTGCTGCCCACGGAAGATCCAAACCTGGTGAGTGGTAGGGCCCTCTTCTTGGGGGGGAGCGTGAGCAGCAAGGGGAGCTGTGGGGGCACAGCAGCCTCAGAGGAGCCCCTGCCCACCCCCATTGTCCCCCGAGGCGCTCGGTCCTCCAGGGCAGCAATGGGGAGCTGCGTGCCACCACGCTGACACATGGACAGGTTCTCTGTATTGAACTCACCACCTTTACTGAGCAGCTTTTCAAAACACAGATTAATGAAGGCTGCACCCTCTCACGGCCCCGGGTTTGTGTACCTGTCAGGCACACGGTGGCCAGCGGTGGCCACTGTGCTGCACGCCGAGCCTGCTGCCTGTCCTGGCACAGCCGGTACCTTGGCTGGCCTGCCTTTCCCCACCCAGCACAGTCTTCATCTCTCAGAAAGTCCACAGACCCGTCCCTCTGAATTCCGCCGTGTGGCCGGCCGCGGGGCTCCCCGCGCTGCACAGGTACACAGCCCTGAGTCCCTCAGCACCCAGGCTGCCAGCTGAGCGCAGCCCTGATTCTCTGTGGCGAGTCCACTCTCCTGCCTCGGAGGAAGATGGCTGTTTTAAACTGATGCATAAGATGCCGGCACTGCTTTGCAGTGAGACTGTGTGACTGGGGCTGACCCACCGCCCCGTCAGAGTCGCACGGCGCAGGTGCACAGTGCAGCGATCCAACACTGGTGACAGCAGGGCTGCGGGCCGGGGCGGGCCTGCACTGCGAGGACCTTCTCAGGGCTGGTGGTAGACGGGTGCTGCCCTTCTGTGTGTGTGCTCCGTGCTCTCGCTGGAGGGCCTGGCGCTTGCCGTGACCCAGGCAGGAGGGTGTGTCACCAGCCTCAGATCTCTCCGTGGCTGTCTCATAAGCCATGCGGAGTGTGTGGTGGGCAGGAAAGTCAAATTGCAGCTTTCTTCGATAAGCTGTTGTTTATAGTTCTAAGCACCGGATAGTGGGAGTGGCTGTTTCCAGTGGCAGATAATTAGCACAGCCAGCGGCCTGTCTCCTGACTTCATCATAAACGCTTCCCACGCTGAGAATGGCTCCTGTTTCCCCTCCCCCCCAGGGGTCTGTGTGGGGCCACCTCACAGGTTGCGGGGAGAAGCCGTGCTCTCGGGGCTGGGGGAGGGGCCTTCAGAAGGAGCCTTGGTCTTTCTGCTGTGGTGGGAGGTGAGCGGACGCAGGACGCCTGTGCACCCCCGCCCTGGGGGCGGAATCTCAGCCCAGATGTGGGACTGGGGTGGGAAACCTCCCGAGGAGACTAACCCGCGGGGTTGGCCATCCTTCTGGTTCCGTGTCACACAGATGGCCCTGGTCAACCCCGAGCAGCCAGCCCGTGGACAGTGTCAGACCTTGACGTGGGGCCTGACTGCGGTTCGTCTCGGCCCTCTGCGCACCGGTTTGTAAACCGTACGTTGGCTGGCGGGCCTGGTGGGAGGCTCTGGTCCTCAGCACTGCCAAGTCCACAGCGCTTCTTCCAAACTGACAAAGGCTGCTCCTCGCAGTCAGCCGGGGAAGAGATGCCACACAGGCACGCCTGCCCTGCCCGCCGCAGTCGGGCGGCGCCTGGGGCCGGCCACGGCAGCCAGCCCTCCTCAGGGAGGTGCTGGCCCAGCAAGCGTTTTGCGGTTTTGTTTGCACAAACTTAGGATGATTGAGTTCACTGTGAGGCTTTTAGTTTTATCTTTAGTACAGGAATCTCCCATCAAACTTAAAGATGACTGTCCCTTTATAATAAGAATATATTCCTTCTACACCTCCTCTCTCATCCTGAAGGAGGAAAATCCATAGGCTCTTGCTTTCTAGTGCCTTTATGGCTGATTTCCATGAAAGTTCCTGCTGCTGTGAGATTTAGGAGCAGCTGGACGGCCACATTTCCTGTGACACTGAGAGGGGGCCAGGAAACCCAGCTCCCACGGCCAGCCCCACCCGCCCGCCCTCCTGAGTCAGCAGTGGGCTGGGTTGGTTTCCCATCGGCCCAGAATTTGTACCTCGGGGCACTCTTGGTGAACCTGCGCGTTTCTGGCCCACACCCACCCCCAATCTGATACAATAGAGAGGGTATGAAAGCACAGCAGCCAGAGCAAAGTGATGGTTTGGACTGAGGCCTTGGAAATGCCCCACCAGGGCCCTTGCCGCCTGGAGCCAGCAGCGAGGGGTTAGCAGTGCAGCAGCGACTCAGCTGAGCTGCTGCACCGTGTAGATGTGGCCCAGGGGTGGCTGCTGACTGGCCTCCTGTGGCCGGGCTTCGAGCTGGGGGGAGTCTCCTCTTCCTGTCTTAGCAGCCGCAGGTTTGGGCTGGAGCACTGCTGGTGGACGGAGGGACGGGGCTATGTCCCCTCGGATTTCTCTCCGCCTCGTGTGGCTGATGGCTGGGTGTTCACCACTTCAGTCTGGGCTGTGAGCTAATCCTGCAGAGGCCGTGATGTATCGTGTCACTGCGAGTGAGCCTGTCTTACCAGGGAATGCTCCTGCGTCCTTTTTCAGTTTGGAAAATGCTGTTAAAAAACATACCTTTTCAATGGCTTTCCTGAAAACGCTGGGCTGACGGCTTTCTAATCACTGCAGCAGAGCGATAACCTGCTACTCCAATCAGTGGGAGCTTGTCCTGTCCTCCTGTGATCATGAGTTACTTTAAGAGGATAGAAATTTCTAAAAGGTTAACTCAAATTTTTCTTTTAATACTAGAAGCAGTACAGGTCAAACCCGTTAAGAAGTCAGAAGGGAAATCTTTTTGTATTGCTGTATGTAACTGTACTTGTAAATACTGTTTGAAAACTGAGGGCCAGCACTTTTTTATTCCCTAGTGTTGATGTAACGGGTTTGACCTGTATCTAAACAGGGGCCAAGAATGTGGCTTTGATCCCTTGGCCCCTGGCCCGGGTTGGCGCAGCCCCCTGCTTGATCGTCGAGTCTCTGCCCATGTGACAGCGCTGCCTGCCGCGCCGGTGGAGGCCGCCCTCGGTCTTGCCTGGCGCGAGCACGTGTTCAGGGAGGGGGCTTGGCCGCTGGATGATGGAGCTGCAGCAAAGTGTGTGTCCCAGAGGGGTTTTGTTCCTGGCAGGGAGTTAGTCTTATGTTGGTTCAACTAATTTCAAGCAAAGTTTTACTGGTATTCTGTTCTCTTCCAGCCAACGATGGAAATTGGCCAACACTGAAACAGAATCCTAGCTCTTCAGTGAAAGCAATGCAGGTTGCCGGTGTGGACTGGAAGGACCCTGGTGTGGAGGGGCCTCTCAAGCAGGGGGCCGTCTCCAGCCAGCCTGTGCCCTTGTCAGCACTAGGAGCTACGGAGAAGCTGGTAGGCCGTTTGTCTCTGTCACAGAACACAGACAAGCTCCTCACCACCTGCACCCATGTCTGGCTTTCGTCTTCGTCTTGAGGGCCGGGAGGTGTCCTGAGGCAGGTTCACGCTGCTTGTGTCCAGGTCACACCCATGTCTGAAGGAGCCGGGTGCAGGGGTGCATGCCTTTGCTCAGGGTCCTTCGTCCCACTGTTTGGTCCCCGCAGTGTGCCGTGTGCCTCATCACAAGCCGATCTGAAGGATTACAAGTCCTACTTTGTATTCTCTTGTGACTGTGACTGAGGGAAATGTGCTTAACTTTTCAAAGGGTGACTTTGTCTTTCTTTTTGACCTCTAAATTTAGGGCATTGAGATTGGTAAAGCGCCACCCCCCATGCCTGGTGTCAGCAAGCAGCTGCCCCCAAGCTACGGGACGTACCCAAGTCCTGCACCTGTGGGCCCAGGGTCCACAAACTCCCTGGAGAGGAGGAAGGAGGGCAGCTTGCCCAGGCCCAGCGCAGGCTTGCCCAGTCGGCAGAAACCCACCCCGCTGCCTCCTGCGGGCAGCCCTCACCAGCCAGGTTCCTCACAGCAGATTCAGCAGAGGATTTCCGTGCCGCCAAGTCCCACGTACCCGCCAACGGGGCTGCCTGCATTTCCAGCTGGAGACAGCAAACCTGAACTCCCACTGACAGTGGCCATTAGGCCCTTTCTGGCTGATAAAGGATCAAGGCCACAGTCCCCCAGGAAGGGACCCCAGACAGTGAATTCAAGTTCCATATACTCCGTGTACCTCCAGCAAGCCACACCGCCCAAGAATTACCAGCCAGCGGCGCACAGCGCCTTCAATAAGTCGGTTAAAGCAGGTACAGTGGGCTTGCTCCTCCTCTTGGGCTAGATCCTTTTACTGAAGAAAGTGCCAATCTGTGTCCTTACTTTGGGACGACATGCTCTTTAGGATTAAACTTGATTTCTGTGTAAAGTGTGGCCTTAGGTACCTGTGTGAGGTAGGGGTAAAGGGTGAATTGCAGGCACAGTTGTGCAGGGCATCGCAGCTGACTTCCTGTCTGCAGCCAGGCCCTAGGGACAGTGATGCAAGGGGGTGTCTGCTGCTCTGGGACCCTTTCCCAGAGCCCGCAGGGAGAGAAGCCTTGGTTTGGGTGAGGGGACACCAGCCCTGGGCCAAGGTGTTCTGGGAAGGCAAGTGAGAGAAGGGAGCCTAGGTCCGCACAGACAGAGACTGACGGAGAGCCTCATCTGTGCGGCCGGCCGGGCTGGGCCTCCCCATGTTCTTGGGCTTCCAGACCAGTCTAAGGCTCTTTAGGCATGTGTGGCCCCCCGTGCCCAGGGACCCCCTGGCCCGCAGCAGGCTCCGCCCTGTGCTGGGAGAGGCCTGCCCCTTCCCTAGCGCCCCCGGGCCACCAGGTGAGACCTTCCTTCCTGAGGCGGCCTGTTCTGTACCATTCAGCTTCGTCCGAGGGTCAGGTAAGTTCTCCTTGGCCAGGAAAGAGCAAGGGTCTGCTTGGGACAGGGCAGGAAGGCAGGTTTGTAACTTTTTTTTTCATTTTTTTCATTTGAAAAATGCCCAATTCTGGAAACCCAAATGTAAAAACTGATAAATTAGAGACACTTCACCTTCAGAAGGAGTTGGTGCTGTTCTGTGAACGGTAGGGTCCCTTTGGGATTTAAAACTAGGCATAGCATCCTCAGCAGCAGATGCCCATCTCTGTAGGAGCCCATCTCTGTGTCACTGATGGTGCTCAGGGGCCAGGCCCCAGAACCCACAGGCTGCTGAAGTCGCCCTGTCCTCTGTCTCCTCCAGTGTACGGGAAACCTGTCTTACCGTCCGGCTCCACATCCCCGTCCCCGTTACCATTTCTTCACGGGTCACTGGCCACAAGCGCCTCGCAGCCACAGCCTCCAGAAAGCACCGAGAAGGAGGCTGAGCAGGACGGCCCCGCCCGCCTGGGGACGGCACGGGCGCCGTGGAGAGCCTGCCGCGGCCACTCAGCCCCACCAAGCTCACGCCCATCGTGCACTCGCCGCTGCGCTACCAGAGCGACGCCGACCTGGAGGCCCTGCGCAGGAAGCTGGCCAACGCGCCGCGGCCCCTGAAGAAGCGCAGCTCCATCACAGAGCCCGAGGGCCCCAGCGGGCCCAACATCCAGAAGCTGCTGTACCAGCGCTTCAACACCCTGGCCGGCGGCATGGAGGGCGCCCCTTTCTACCAGCCCAGCCCCTCGCAGGACTTCATGGGCACCTTAGCCGACGTGGACAATGGGAACACCAATGCCAACGGGAACCTGGGGGAGGCTGGCCCCACCCTGCCCACGGCCCCGCTGCCTGCTGAGCCCACCCCTGCCTCCGATGCCAATGACAACGAGCTGCCTTCCCCCGAGCCAGGGGGGCCCCTTTGTCCCGTGAACACCCACCAGGCCCCCGAGCCTGCCGAGGATGACAACAACAATGTGGCCACGGCCCCGTCCACAGACCAGCTCCCCAGCCCCGGGGCCGAGGCCCCCTCTCCAGGGCAGGAGCAGGTGACCCTGCCACTGGCTCCCACCGTGCCCTCAACGGCGGCCTTGACGGTAGGTGTTGCCCTGGGCCAGGGCCACAGCTCCCTCGTCACCCCGCCAGCTCTTGTTGAAGATGCACCTGTGTTGGTGGTGGCACTGGGGTTGGTGGGCCCTGCAGGGCACAGCCCAAGGTGTCCCTGAGAAGGGGAGCCATGGCTGCACCCCAAAGGGCAGGCAATGAGGGGAAGGAGAGCCTTCTAGACAAGGTTCCAGGTGGGAGGGTGGCACCGAGGGGGCCAGGCAGGTGGGCTCCCCTGCAGTGGGCGGAACTGAGCAGCTCACTCCCTAAGGAAGCAGCTGAGCTTGGCCGTCACCCTCCTGACTGTCACTCACCTTGCTGTGGAGCCGTCCCTCCAGGCAGTGCCAGGCATTGCTCTGCTCAGGCTCTAGACCCTCGCCTTTGCCGCCCAGGCCTGGCTGGTTGGCAAACAGCTTTGAGTCAAAAGCCTGCTTCCTTCCCAATAGAACAAACGGACCAACCTGAAGAAGCCTAACTCGGAGCGGACAGGGCACGGGCTGAGGGTCCGGTTCAGCCCCCTGGCGCTGCTCCTGGACGCCTCTCTGGAAGGAGAGTTCGACCTGGTACAGAGGGTCATCTACGAGGTGAGTGAGCGCGGCTGCCGCGTCGGCTGCCCCGGGCCTGGCCAGGGCTCACACAGGCACCCTGTGTCCCAGGTGGAGGACCCCAGCCAGCCCAATGACGAGGGCATCACCCCACTGCACAACGCCGTCTGCGCCGGCCACCACCACATCGTCAAGTTCCTGCTGGACTTCGGGGTTAATGTGAATGCCGCTGACAGTGACGGCTGGTGAGGGCCCCTGGGGCGTGGGGTCCAGAAGGGGGGTTGGGGGGCAGGAAGGAAGGAGGATGCCAGCACTTGGTCCTGGGGTGCGCATCCTCCGGCCTTTGTTCACTGGGTTTTGTTAAAGGTTCGGCTGGGACGTATTCGCCATTGTAGGCTGAGCCGGAGTCAGTCTGTTTTTCAATGGCCAGAAAGTGCACAGGGAAGGGAGCCTCGCAGGCCGGCCTCATGAGTTGAGGCAGTGGTCTTGCTGCTGTGGGCAAGCCCCTGTAGCCCTGAAGTCATCGTCACAGGCAGCTGTCTGTCCTGCCTCATTTGGTCATCTGTCAATTGTAAAATACACAGAACAGTTACCACGGCAGCCATTTCTGGGACATGCCAGCGGTGCGAGGGACACCCGGATCGCCATCGTATAGGCATCTGTCTCCCAGCCCGCTGCCCACCTGCACTTTTCAGGAACGTGCGTGGTCCTAAACTGTCAGTAGAAATCAGGCAACTGGAAAGACAGCGGCCTGGAGGCGAGCAGGGCCCTGGGTGCACAGCTGCCGGGCCTGCTCAAACGGCCATGCTGTCGGTTCCAGGACCCCGCTGCACTGCGCCGCCTCCTGCAACAGCGTGCACCTCTGCAAGCAGCTGGTGGAGAGTGGCGCCGCCATTTTTGCCTCAACCATCAGTGACGTTGAGACAGCCGCAGACAAGTGCGAGGAGATGGAGGAAGGCTACATCCAGTGTTCCCAGTTTCTGTATGGTATGCGGGGTGGGCGGGCGAGTGCCTCCAGCCCTTCTCCTGGCCGCATGGGGAGAAGCCCCTGGTTAACCTTGGGGGCAGCCCAGGAAGTCATCACGATGGAGGTCACACTGTCCGTCGGGCTCGTTCCTGAAGATGTGTTGGAAAATCCACATTGTTGCGAGCCCGTGCCAGGTTGCTAGAAACAAAACCACTTCTAGGTCTTGGCTAGATGGTGCCCTCTGGGCAGAGAAGTGGGGGTGGGTGGCTGGGCTGTCTGTGCACTTGGGCTGGGATGCACTGGGATGTGCCTCCGCCCAGAGAGAGGCCTGTGACGGCCGACGGTGTCCCAGCGTGGTGACCGTGGTGGGTGAGCACTGGTCTTCCGTCCGCTCTTTAGGCAGAGGGGTTGGCAGGGCTGCAGCATCTCTGAGGCTGAAGTCAACAGGTCATCTGCCCCACATCTGTGGGTCCAGCCCACTTCAGACCCTGGGCCCTGGGGACAAAGTGATAAACAGGCAGGCTGAGCTCCCAGAACTGGGGGGGCCGCGGTCCCAGGACACCTGTGCCTTGGGGCCTGGCGGTCGGTCCTGGGCGTGCGCTCACTCCACTGGGGAGAGCTTTCTGCTATTGGAGCAGCATCGCAGCTGCTTTTGACATTGACTTTTGTAAGTATGTTCTCGGTGTGGGTTGAGCTTTACTTGAGAAATGTCTTTCAGAACCACAGCCTTTGCTCTGGACTGAAATCCCCAGCAGCACTCCTCCCATCAGGACGTGAGAAGGACTGTGGGTGTTAAGTGGGGGGGGGGACGGCAGCTGGCCGAGTTGGCAGCGTGGCCCTTCTGGTCCTGGAGCAAGCAGGGCTCTTTGCCGCCCACCCGCCACAGGGACCTGACAGTTTGCTCTCCCATCCCAGGGGTGCAGGAGAAGTTGGGTGTGATGAACAAAGGTGTGGTGTACGCCCTGTGGGCTTACGAGGCCCAGAACAGTGACGAGCTGTCCTTCCACGAAGGCGACGCACTCACCATCCTGAGGCGCAAGGACGAGAGCGAGACCGAGTGGTGGTGGGCCCGCCTGGGGGACCGGGAGGGCTACGTGCCCAAAAACCTGCTGGGGGTGAGTGCTTGAAGCTGCTGGTTCACCCCTTTCTGCCTGCCCGGGGAGCACGGGGCACTGGGCAAGGTGCGGCTCACATCCCGTGGGTGACTCAGTGCAGGAGCTCCCCCCAAGCCCTGGTACCCCCACAGGTGGGTGAGTTTGCAGAGCTGGTGGGAGGGTTGGCAGGCCCTGGGGAACTGTGGAGGTGTTTGCTCCTGGGGAGGCCCCGGGGCAGGCCAGCACCCTGGTGGCTGCTGCTAGCTGTGCTCTGCTCTCAAGGCGCCAGCCAGCAGTGTCTTCAGAGGGGGTGGGTGGGGAGATGCGGCACCCGCAGGCTGCTCCCAAGTATTGCATTCACAACCGCATCAGACCTCTCGGCCTGCATGCCCGGCAGGTGCCACGTTCACCCCACCTTCACTGGATGTCAGTGGCCTACCAGGCGCCTTTGGGGGCCTTACAGCCAGTGACAGGGACTTTAGATGGTTTGAACCCACGGGGATTGAGGGTGGGCTCAGTAGGAGGTGACAGCCCAGGAGCTGAGGAGCCTCGCGGGGAGCCCGGCTCCACGGCCGTCCCACCCTGACCCCTCTCCCTCGGCCCCTAGTTGTACCCACGGATCAAACCCCGACAGCGAACACTGGCCTGAATGTTCCTCCAGAGCACCACTCAGACTTGCCGGCGACCAGGAGTCACCCAGGAGATTTCTCCATTTCCCTGGGAAAGCTGAAGCTAGGAGTGGTTTTACTGGTGCTCACTTTAGCAGACGGCGTCCACAATGTGAAACCCCGGCAGTTTCTAGGTGAGGCCCTTTCTCCAGCTCACCCACACTGGGAGGGGTACTTTCACCTCCAAGAAGACTGAATTTTGCCAATTACTGTAAATCCAAATAAATACCCAGCTTTCTCAACCACCGCCCTTGTTGCCAGTAAGCAGCCCTACAGTTAAGCGCTGGTTGGTGGCCAGTGAAGACCGATGCTCTGCTCGACTTGGGCGCACGGCTGCCCCTCAGTCCCATGTCACTCAGCCCACAGTGAACACTCCCAGCCGCTGTGAGGTGTGTCCCCCTGCGAGAGCCCTGCCCACCTGTGGCCTGGAAACCACAGGAACCCAATGTCCTTTTCTTCCTCACCTCGTGCGTTTCTTCCTAGCATCACCAGAGGGGCCCGTGTGTGGAAACTCCCGTCCCATGGTGGTGTCTGGTGTGCCGGCTCTGGGCCTCAGTCTGGGTTACCCAGGCCGCTGGTGTGGGGCTGGACTTCATGCCATGGGCACAAGGACCCTGAGGACCAGGTGACACACAGTCAGGGGTCTCAACGCAGCACTGCCTTCTCTGCAACCTCTCGCTGCCCAGGTGTGGTTCTGACGCCCTCCCAGGGTGGACATACCCTGCTGAGTGCAGTCTTGCCCTCGAGCCGGGGGTGGGTGGGCGTCGGGAGGGTGGCCCTGGGACAGGAGGGCAGGGCCCAGCCTCCCTGTCCGGGCGGCCATGATGCAATAACATTTGCCCCAGTTCTAGACTTAAAGCAAGTTAGGCACTTCCCTGAGATCTGAACTGTACGTACAGGCTTTTATACACCAAGAGTATTTTTTGACTAGACCACTCGAAGCTATCAGAGCCACGTTGGAAATGTCTTCTCATTAAAACCCAGGCTCTTAGGCTTTGTTTTCCATGTGCGAGTCTTGTGTGTACTTCACGTACAAACGTGTAGAGCCTTGCTGTGGTCAGCCAGTTTGAAGCACTGATTGTACCCAGCGGGGTGGTGAGGAACGGACACCCCACGGGCAGCCTCTGAGGAGCCGTGTCCACGTGCACACAATAAACCGCTGTCTCCCACCGGCGGCTGCGAGTCTTGTGTTCCGGGGCCCGAGCGGAGCTGTGCGGGCAGCTCAGGTGGTCGGGACACAGCGAGGCGAGGCCTGACCCGTATTTTCAAAATAGGTTTTAATCATAAGCTTTATATACAAATTGTTGTACAGTTATTTTAATAAAGTGAAATAGTAAGTGAAAAGTACAAAACACAAAGCTTGCTCCTTCCCCCCGTGAAGTATCAGAGGCGTGTGCACAGCCCCAAATTAGTGACGCAGTGAACGGACAGCCTGTAAAACGGGTTCAGGCCGACTGTAAGCCGCGTATGGGAGACCAGGCAGGCAGCAGGGCCCTCCAGGCCGGGTCTCCGCTGCCGGCCCACTTCTGAAGAAGAACTAACAAAACGAGCAGCAAGGGGCCAGGACCCACTCGCACGCTCGGGCCTGACAGCTTACGCTGCACAGTTAGCAGCTGTGCAGCTCAGCGGCTCCCACCCCCGGGTAAGTATCAACAGGGTAACAAATTCTGAAGCACGAGCTGTTGAGAGCGTTAATCAGCGGTGTACGTATTGCACTAGGTAAGCGGACACTTGTTTCTCCGAATACTTGAGTTGCGTTTCCAGTACGTGTCGGGCTGGTTGTGCCTGTGCCCGCAGGGAGCGGGCGCCGCGGTCCCACGCTGGCTGACTGGCCTGCGTGGAATTACTGGTCCCGGGATTCGTAGAGGAGCTTGGCGGCCTGCAAGGTGACCCAAAATAAGCACGGAGCCTGGCAGGGGCGCCCCCCGGTGGAGCAGGAGGCAGGTCTTCATCTGGGAAAGGTGGGCAGTGCCCTGGTGGCAGGGCCAGGGCCACGGTACCTTGTGCATGGCAGCCAACCATGCTGTCGCCTGCCTCCTGCTGCCATTTGCGTCCTCACCGGCAGTCAGCTTCAGCTGCGTCACGCCCTCTGCCCCTGGGGTTCTGTAGTGCAGGGACATGCCCGTGGCCCGCGCGTTGCCTCCTGGGGGCAGGAGACAAGGTAAGGCTGCCCCGAGGGGACTCTGAGCACCCAGGATGCTGCCAGCCCTGACGTGGTGGCCACGTCAGGTGAAGCCTGTGCGAGGGAGGCGCCTTCTGGTGTATGACCCCAAGTCACAAGACTGGAGGTCCGGGACAAACACGGCCACATCACTGAGAGCCCAGGGAGAGAAGCAAGTGCCGCATCTCTCGGCCCCGGCGGGGCACCTGCGGGGGGCGGGGCCTGCACCACCCTGGCTGGCCTCCCACCCGCCCCACCACCGAGAACAGGGTCGAGCAGAGGGAGCCAGAGAAGTGCCACCACCTTGGTCACCAGCACCCTACCCTAGCACATGAGCTCCAGAAAAGATGCCCCATGTAGGTCAGCCTGCTGGGACATGGCCTGCCTGCCCCTGGGGTGGGAGCAGCTGCTCCATGGACAACGACCTGATTCCTACACCTGTTCTGAGAACCCTTCTGTCCCGACCATGTCAGCAGTCACGTGGAGACCAGCTCCTGGTGACGTTCACCTACAGCTCTTCTGCTGACTGTGGGAGGAAGACTCCAGCTCTCAGAAGAGTCCTTCAATCAGACACAGGTGTCCAAGTCAACATGCAGGCCAGTGGGGTCAGGGCGCGAGCTGGTTGAGAGGGCGAAGCACCACCAGAGAGCTGCCTCCATGACCTCGCATGAGCCACGGTCCTACCCTGCAAGTCAGTCCAGCTTGGCCCGGCGGGGCTCCCTGTGGGTGCCCCCAGCTGGCTCTGCCCGCCACCTGCTCTGTAAGTGGTTTTACTGGCGCCCCGGCCACACTTCCATGTCTCCTATGCTGCCTCCAGCTCAGGGAGCTGCCCCAGTGCCCCCACTCCCATGAGAAGACAAGGTTCTGGGGATTCAAAGGTTCCAGAAAACTTTTGGCAGAGCAGGGTTCACTGTACTCCCAATGGGCACCATGAGCCCCAGCTGCTGGGACTTTGGAAAGGCTGGCGACTTCACTGGGCCAGCTGGATGGTGACCACTCCCTGGCCTCTGGTGGGCCACGGCAAGGCCATTCCTGCGCGCACCCTCCAAGGCTGAGCCCAGCTCCTCCAGACCTGGACTTCCCACCAAGGCACCTGCAACTCAGCCTGCTTGCGCTCAGGGGACAGAGGGGGCCAAACACTGGCCAGGCCCTCCCGCCCCAGCATTCCAGGAGTCGGACGTGCAGGAGGCTCCTTGAAGAACACAGTGAGCCCGGCTGTGAAGGACAGGACCATGTTGGGAGAAGGGCCGCCACCCGCCGGCAGACTGGGCCTGCTGAGGGCCAGCAGATGCTGACGTGAAAGCGTCACTGAGCCCTGCTTTCCCCCGGGACAGAATGAGCAAACTAGACAGAGCTCTTCCGCCAGGATACTGTCTTAGACCCGACCCTCTTCCAAACCAACCAAAAGTGAATGGGCGCTTCGCAGAGAACCCTGACGTGGACCCCCCGAGACAGCAGGATGTGAAGGAGGCGCAGGGCCCGGGCAGTCAGGGGAAAGGCGAGGAGCACGTGTCTGACCTTCAGAGGCGGGCTGGCTCCCCGGGAGGCTGGTGTGAGTGTGAGTGTCTTTTTCTACGTCAAGGAGGTAGGCAGGCAGGAGAGAAGACAAGCAAGAGTCAATCAGAACACAGCACGGTGGACACAGCCACACGGACTCCTCAGCACACTGTGCGCAGAGCGGAACACAGACTCCCCTTCGGGGGAAGGGCGGCCGCTGCACACGGAGGTTTGGGTGGGAAGACCCAGACTGGGCTCCTCCCCGCGAGCCCACGAGGAGCCACAGAGCCTTGTCTCCACAGACGCCAACGGCAGGGCGTGCCGGGAGGGCCCTGCCCCAGACACTCAGGAATCTGGTGATGCCAACTGCACCTGGGCTTGATCCTGGGTCCGAGTCCAAAAGTAAATGAAATGGCACAGGAGAGCGTTCAGACAACGTGTTTAGGCAAATTTTCCTTCGTTGTTTTACATGTTAAGCCCCTGTTCACTGGCGAGTTCCTGAGCCAGTTAATGGATACAGGCCCACAGGGGAGGACAGGCAGGAGCCTTGGAGACCCTGCCACAGGCTGAGTGGGATGGCCCAACAGACCCTGTCCGCGAGGCTGTGCTTGGCCCCAAAGGTCATCCCGGCTGGCCGCACGCGGCCTTTACCTCCAGGGGGGAAGCCTTCCGTGAGCATCTGCACGGTGGAAACGTGCGCCATCTCCACCTCGCGGCGGCTGTCCCCGTCCAGAAGCAAGTACCTACAGCAAACGAAATGTGTCCATGCCATGCCACTTCCCAGCTCGGTATGACAGCTGTCAGCGCCAGGCCACACCCTGCTCTTACCTCTGGTTGCTGGAAAGACGACAAACCATTGTTTCTGATTTCTCTGAGTTTCCAAAAGTCACAAGGAAGGTGGCTCCTTGGGATGCAAAGCCAAACGTGAGGACATGGCTGCTGCTTTGTTACGTGTGTTCCCGGCTGGCAGGCCAGCTCCCGTGGGACACGCACGAGGCCAGGGCGGGATGAAAGCAAGGCGAGTTCTGCCCCGCGGCCCCTGCTGAGTCCCACAAGAGGCACCGCCTCAGGGGAGGCTGTGCTCCAGGTGACCTTACCTCCCAAAGGCCCAGGTCACAGGGCATCACCCCCCACCATGCTCAGGAGCAATGACCCGGAGCAGCAGAGAGAAGGCACAGAGACCCCCCCCCCCGCTACCAGGAGTGGTACTGCGGGCCGGGGTGAGGGCTGCTCAGTCCTCAGAAGCTCTGGGGGGGGCAGACCTGTGTCCCTGAGCCCCGGGTGAGACTCAGCCTGCTGCCGCCCCAGGGAAGTGCCGCCCGAGCCCAGGGTGGACGTCCCCAACCCGGGTCCCAGGCCCAGCAGGTCAGCCAATGTGTCAGGTGTGTCCATCTCCACAGAGAAGGGCCGAGGCTGCACCCACTTCTCAGGCGCCCACGAGGGCCGGGCCGGCCGGGCCGGCCCCAGGCGCTTACCACTCAGGAGCACCTTGAGCTGCCTGTCGTAAAACTCGGCCTCCTTGTGGGACACCAGGGCGCACTGGGCGCACTGCCGCACGGGGTCCACGAAGCACATGCGCCGTAGTGGCACCTTCTGGCTGCAGCACTTGTCACAGAAGCACTTCCCACAGCGGCGACAGTGGTGCTGGGGACACGGGGCACTCAGTGAGGACGCGCAGGGGCCCTACGGGCAGGCGGCCCCTCACCCATCTCTCCGCAATGGGACCACCGACCAGGCTGCGACTGAGCCAGGGCTCTGACACAGGCCCACCACCCGCCCCACGGCCTCAGCTCACCTTCCGGGTGAGAAAGTCAAACTTGGTGTCACACTGCATGCACCTTGGGCACTAGGAGAGAAGGTGGCAGAGCGTCAGGACCCGGAGCCCACGCCGCGCAGCCCAGCCCTGACGGCGCAGTCAGCTCCCTCTGAAACCAGCCAGGGAAGCACCCATGAGCCCTGCCTGGTACCGGGGGTGGAGGAAAGCGTGGCCAGGGGCTAGGCGGAGGGGCGGCGTCCCATCGGCAAAGTCAGCACCAGGTAAGTGCTTGAAACACACCTCGGGTCAGGGAACCAGACAGAACAGGCCGGATCTGCGACCTGGGGCTCAGGAGGCTGGACCTGCTGGACAGCAAGTCCCATGCCCGCTGCCCCGAGATGCACAGATGATCAGGAGGTTGGGGACAGAGCACCAGAGGGACAGGCGAGGCCCAAGACCTGAAATGGCCACAGCATTGCCAAAGCAACCGACCACACAAAAGAGCTCAGACCCGCCACCCCACGCAAAGTGACAGTCACTTCCACAGACGGGCTGTCCCTGGTGGACACACCTGCCACCCCAGCCCAATGATGCAGTGACAGTGAAACACCACCTCCAGGCAGGGAGCCAGGAGTGTAATCAGACACCCTGCCCACGTAACCCAAGGATGACCCCGTCCAACAGGGCGTGTCTCCCACAGTCCTGCCCTTCTTCCTCACTGACCAGCTGCTCTGGGCAGCCGGAACCCATGCCACCCGGGCTCTGTTCCCCACCCTCTCTGACCCCCAAAAACACAGGGGCTTGGCCCCCCTGCTCTGCACATACCACCTCCAGGCCCAGCTGTGGGACCCAGCACTGCCTGGCCAGTCAGGCCCGTCACTGAGGAGATTCACAAGAGGTGCCAATGCCCACCATTCTCAGCTGGTCTAAAACAGCCCCGTGGTGCCAGGGCCCTGCAGATGCTTCTGGAAGGAGCCTGGCCTCCATGGCACAGCGTGCCCTTCTCCATCAAAGGACAGGTATCAGGCGAGCCTGCAGCAGGAAGGCGCCCTCGCCCCACCCAGCCCCACATGGCCGGGGCCCCGCACTGAGCTTCCTGAGATCCCATGACTAACCTTGTTTTCTCTGCTTGTAAGCTGCTTTCTGGACTTGGACCCAGGGCCTGGTCCACCCTGGCCTTCCAGAACCATCTACAGCTCCCTGCCAACTTCAGGCTCCAGCTGGCTAATCACTGAGCTGCTGCTTCTGCCAGCCCCTGCCTTCCACGGTCAGTTCTGGAATGTTCCCTGTGTTTGGTGCTTGGGCCTCCCCACATGGCAGGGCCTCTGTGTCACGATCCCTGGTGACCTCACACAACCACCAGCCACAGAATCCACTGGGTGTGGGTGTAGCCAGGGAGGCTGAGCCACCGGGAAAGCCAGCATCAGACCAGGCTCCAGCACACGGAGCTGTGCTCCCAGGGGTGGGACGCGGCTCCCAGGGCCGCTCCCTGTATGCTGGGACGCTCACATCTGGACCACTGAGAGACCAATTTCTAAACTAAGACCACATCCGAATTGAAAATTTGCTCCCTTAAAAATATTAGTGAACTAGAAGCTTTTTATTAATCTAAGTAAACCAATGAGGTTATTTTTAAATATAGTAACTTTCTTGTTATTTACATAAAAGAAACTTTTCAAAGATCAAGAGAACAACTTGATATGAGAACAAAATTAAATAAGGAACTAAAGCAACGGGTGAGGGTATGAGAGTGAAACCCCACCAACGTACCCCTACCCCCGGCCTGATGGAAAGTTGCACCAAAGGCAAGGCACAGCGCCACCCGGCCCCCAGCCCCGCACCCCTGCACTGGGCCAGAGGCTCTGGGCTTCCAGGCACCTGCTCTCTGGGGAGACAGAACGTACAAAGTCCAGAAATCAGGTGTGATCAACCCATTTCCGCCATGTGCAGCCAGAGGGGCCTGAGATGCCAGCCGCTCAGGCTGCATGGTGCCCAGACCTCCATGTGTTGCCGGGAGTGGCGCTCATACAGGCACAATCACAGGAGAAGCAGGACCCTCCAAAGGGACCCTAGGAGCTCAGGGAGGGCCCTGCCATGAGATGAACGCGCGCACACCACCCCCCACCCCTGCCAGGACGGGCAGCAGGCCGGCTGTGGAGCGTCTCACTCCAAGTGAAGCAGCACGAACAGGCGCGCCTCCAGCCCACCTCAGGAGGAGGGGCCTCACGAAACATGGGCCCTAGTGAGACACCCCGACTCCAAGCCCGCTCCCGGCTGCGGGTCCCGGAGTCCGAGCCCGGCCGCCCACCGTCGAGCCCTTGCTGGTCCAGCAAACCAGCAGGTGACTCAGGCTCCCTGCCAACTAAGCTTTCTAGTGGGTAAGTGAGGAGACCATGAGCAGTAACAGGAGAGACCAGAAAGGGCCAGAGGACACTGGCCCGGACCAAAGACGTGAGCACAGAAGGGGCTTCCGGGACTTGGGGGTTCACCCTGCACAGCTGACAGCACAGGCCAGGCACAGAGCTCGGTGGAGGCGGGTCCTGGCCAACCTGCTGCCCAGACTCAGGCACCAAGAGCCCCCGGTGCCCGGGGCAACCCGTCAGAACTAGTCCCCACCCCCAAGGGCAACTCCCCCTCAGCGTGAAAATAACAAAGTTTTAGGACAGATGCCCAACCTCCCTCTAAGGCTAGGGTGACAAAGGACAGTCATGCCCTCCACACTGTACTCTCTGAGGCACTGCTGGCGCCTGGCTCTCACACTAGACCAGGTCTTAGGTTCCTCAAAAATAAGCCATAAAAGTTAAGTTTTAAAATACACATATTAATGTGTCTTCATTTAAAAAGCAGCTTTCTTAAAGAGTAAAAGCTTAACTCCTACAAATAAAGAACGACCCTGAGTTGAAGACTCAACTCTCCTGCATTAACAAAGGACCAGGCTCACGCAGCCCCATCTGCTGTGCAGCACAGCGTGGCCCGGAGCTCCGGGGAAAGGGAAGGGGCATGCCCGGGCCCAGGGAAGGAGGCCACACCGCCAGCCTTCCTCAGGGCGCAGGGAGGCCCTGGTGGTGTTTCACAGTCACGCTTTCTCCCAACACCAGAAGCAGCGCCCAGCCAGCCTGAGGGGCTGTGGGCAGCTCTCTTGAGAGAGACAGTGCCCCTGGAGGTCCACTGGCTCCGCAGCCCCAACCCCGCACCATGATGGACTTGCCCAGGATCCTGGGGGCCAGAGATCTGGGAACCCCACTCGTAGTGTTCTGGGAACGCATTTCGCAAAGAACCCTCTCCCCATGTGACTTAGAGAAAACTCACAGACACCCCTGCTCACCCACGACAAGCCAGACACAGACCCCAAATGTGACTGCTGACCAGTCTGTCCCCACTCATCTGTCAGAATAAAATGCCCACTGACCTGACAAAACTTTCATCAATCTTCTCTCCTTCCTTTAGGCCCCCAAACTCTGCTTAGCTTGGGGTGATGCCTCCCCTCTTGTGCCATCAGATCAGCACCTGCCCCTCCACCTCCACCGCTCACCCCCTCCCCTTCTAGCCTGGGTCACTCCTCCCACGAAGGAAACCGTTGCTGCCTGATCTTGGACAGTTTGCAGACCTCTTGGTTGGAGCTTCCCCTCCTACAATGACCATAAATCTCTCCCCACCTAAGTCTGACCTTGTTTTTTATCTGACATACCACGCTCTCCCCTCCCTGGTTCTGCATCTGCAGGGTATCTGAGCATCAAAATGACAGCACAGAGCCATCATCATTGGTTACACCCAGTGCCGAGGATGGGAAGAAAAGGGGGTGAGCATGCAAAACTGCACGGATTTCAAGGAGAAAACTCAGTATTTTGGGCTACATGCCAAATAGCGCACCCCAAGCCCACTCCCCACACTCCCCCACTGCCTCCTGGCCTCACCAGCTCCCAGGGAGGCACGGACTGTGGAATCCATGACGTTGACACTAGAAAAGAAATCCTGTCATTTCTGAGGCAGGAACCCCCCTGAGAAGCCGAGAGCCACAGACGTTTCCTGCACTTGTAGGGGTGTCCCCGAGGGCCCAAGCTAACAACCTGGTTCAGGATCACACACCCAGTATAACAGATGCAGAATGAGCTGGCCTCGGACCAGCGGGAGACAGCCGGAATGACAAGAGGGGAGGGCGTCTACAGACATGACAGCGACACTAACCCACACCCAGGCGAGAATGGGGGATGTCGGAGGAAGCCAAAGATGACATGTCATCTCCGGCCCTGCTCTACCTAATTCTCCCACCTGCTCCAGACCACCACAGGTAAACCTGCCCCTCCCAAAACACAGTGATTGTGATCATGACATTCTGGAAGCACCGACCAGGCAAGGAGCAGACTGACCCATCCCAGGCTCCATCCCAAACTTCCCAGCCCAAGCTGCCCCAGTCCAAGGTCCTTTTCCTTCAGAATGCTCCCTTTGGTAATTTCTGGACTCTGGGGCATGTCCCAGTAAATTTCAAGACAAACTTCCTCAGACTCAGAAAGTAGTCCACAGTCACTCAGAGGCCTCCTCCCGTCCTCCGAGCTCCCTCGGCCTCTCAGGCCTCCTCTGGCTGCTCAGACCACAAACAGGGGTTTGTGAGCTCAGATCAGTGTTTCTGAAGGGCACCCGCCACCCCGCCAGCACGGAGCGAAACGTCTGTTAAAGGATGGGGTGCCACACTGATTCAAGTCTTTCAGTCCGACCCTGTCAGTCTCCTGAGTTCTCCAGTGGGCTGGGCAGAGCTCCAGGCGCACCTCACCTCGTGGCCCTGCAATACGAGGCCCACACAGAAAGGCAACTTACGTGGGAAAACCTATGCAACGAGGATTTCAGGAAAAAGCGAGGGGCCCTGGAGAGGAATGCCAGTGGGGATCCCAAGGTCGCACAGCAGCGGTGCCCCAGCTAGACTGTGTTCCCGCGCACATCCGCACGCTCCGAGCAGCGGGGCACACATCCCTGTGCCAGCCATTCCCCAGGGGATCAACTGGACGCAAAACGTCTAAAGAGGGTCCTCGAGGGGCAGCAATGGGCAAAGGCTGAGACACATCAGCCTGGCCTCGGGGGCACCCTCGGGCGACCGCTCAGGGAGCTGCAGACACTGCAGACATCCGGCCCACCGGGCCCTCGGGCGCCTGGGCTCCCCTCCCCCACGGGGAAGAGAACTTCTCCCTCATGTGCTCGTGCCTGCTCCTTCCTTGTCAGTTCGTGCTGCTTTGACTGGTCTTTGAACCATGATAATGTCCACCTGCTTCCCTCACGGATCCAGTTAGATGAACTCTGACATGCGCTCATGTATGGGAACCAGACCCACGATGTCACCTCCTTTTTCCTTTAATCATCTTTCACTGCACTAACCAAGGAGACCAAGTGAGGAAAGGTAAGTTCTGTTAGTTCAAAGTGTACAAGGACCAAGAGAAAAAATGCAGAAGAGAGCACAAACAGGTCAACAAAGAACAAGAGGGGAGGGGCGACGTAGCCCAGCTCAGTGACCCCGCCACCCACTCCCCAGCACGGCGCCCTCTCTGACTGCAGGCACCTGGTGACTGCCAGCTCCCCTCAGGGCGACAGGGCAGTGCCGCTGAAGTGGAAAGAGCAGCCCCGGCAGGACCAGGACGGAGGACTGAGCCCTTCCCCGGGGCTGGCCCCACGGCCCCTCCCCAGCTTCTGGGCAACTCACCACCAGAGTCTTAAAAAACACCTGATTGCATTCCAGTCTCTTAGAAACACCTGACTGCATTCCTCAGGACAAACCCTGCCGCCTGATAGGTGATTCTCAGGGAAGGGAGGAAAAGTAGTCGATCACAACGCGGGAGGGAGCAGTAACTTAAAGCCTTTTCAAAAATCGTGGTGCGTTGGTGTCTCAGACATTTGTGATTTACAGGAATGCACGAAGTTTTTCGCATGGCTTCACGTAGCTGAGAATTACTGGCTTACGGGATCCTGTCCAAACTCCCGGGCCGGCACAGAAGGGCCTTCAGAAGGTGCCGCATCCACCCTGCCGACGGGACAGGGTGTCCGCCCCGCACCTCTCGGGAGCAGGTGCAGCTCGCCAGCCCGGACGCCCTCCAGACTCGGTCCGGAGACGCCTACTCACACCTGAGACCTCCCTCAAACACCACCCGCCGCGCAGTGCAGACCCCGAGGGTCCTCCAGGGAGGATGCTGTTTGGTAAACAAACGCCGGACTCATCGGCTGTCCCGCGGAGTTCCAGCTCAGCAGCTCAACCAATGGGCGCTATGGGATTCGCAGACGCCCCGGGGGTGGCAAAGCCCGGGTCACATCGTGGGGAGGTCTGTGAGGGGCACAGAAACTTAGGGGGAGCCTGCGCGCCCCGAGGACGGGAGCCAGGTCGGGACAGAGCGCGCGGGCAGCAGGGGCGCGGGGGCGCCACCAGAGCGC